TAAAATGACCTTTTTGTGACAAAAAGTAACTTGTCGCCTTAAGCTAACTTTACTCAACAAAAACCAAATTTGTCACAAAAAGTTGTCGCAATATCTACCCCGGGAATTTCCTTATGTCCCGCCATATGGCGGGAAAGGGTATGGCGACAAAATTGCTTTTAGTGACAAATATATTGTCGCAACTAATTGCAATATAGTAACAAATATAGCTTTGTCGCGATTAACTAGATTTTAGTGACAAATATAGTTTTGTCACAATTGGTGGCATTTTAGCGACAAAATTGTCGTCGCTACAAACAACCTTCTAGTGACAAATGATGCATTGTCGCAAAAGGTTGAGTTATTGGGACAAATATAACTTTATCACAATTGGTGGCATTTTAGAGACAAAAATTGTTGTCGCTACAAACAACCTTCTAGTGACAAATGAAGCTTTGTCGCAAAAGGTTGAGTTATTGTGACAAATATAGCTTTGTCACAATTGGTGGCATTTTAGAGACAAAATTGTTGTCGCTACAAACAACCTTCTAGTGATAAATGATGCATTGTCGCAAAAGGTTGTGTTATTGTGACAAATATAGCTTTATCACAATTGGTGTCATTTCAACGACAAAAATTGTTGTCGCTACAAACAACCTTCTAGTAACAAATGATGCTTTGTCGCAAAAGGTTGAGTTATTGTTGCACACAATTGATGGCATTTTAGCTACAAAATTGTTGTCGCTACAAACAACCTTCTAGTGACAAATGATGCTTTGTCACAAAAGGTTAAGTTATTGTGACAAATATAGCTTTATCACAATTGGTGGTATTTTAGCGACAAAAATTGTTGTCGTTACAAACAACTTTCTAGTGACAAATAATACTTTGTCACAAAAAGTTAAGTTATTGTGACAAATATAGCTTTGTCACAATTGGTGGCAAATATAGCTTTGTCACAATTGGTGGCATTTTAGCAACAAAAATTGTTGTCACTACAAACAACCTTCTAGTGACAAATGAGGCTTTGTCGCAAAAGGTTGAGTTATTGTGACAAATATAGCTTTGTCACAATTGGTGGCATTTTAGCGACAAAAATTGTTGTCGCTACAAACAACCTTCTAGTGACAAATGATGCATTGTCACAAAACGTTAAGTTATTGTGACAAATATAGCTTTGTCACAATTGATAGCATTTTAACGACAAAAATTGTTGTCGTTATAAATAACCTTCTAATGACAAATGATGCATTGTCACAAAAGGTTAAGTTATTGTGACAAATATAGCTTTGTCATAATTAATAGACTTTTTGTGACAAATTATTTGTCGCCAATTTCTATTTTTTAATGACAAAAGATATTTCGTCACAAAAGAGTAAATTTTTGTCACAAATTAGCCTTCTGTCACCATATACTTGTTTGAGAAATAATAAGAAAAATTAAAACTTATCATAAGGTATGTTTTTAATATATAAAAATGTGTGTATATATATAAATATATGGTAAAGTGCAAAAAACGCTTTGAACTATGCTTGAATTTGTAAATAACCCCTTTGAATTATATTTTGTGCCTAATACTACCTATTTCCAAAAATGCCCCAATGTTCTAATAATAAGTTAATCATTTTATAAAATGGTAGTTATAATTTTTTTTAATGATAAATTAATTCTAATAATAAAGTTAAGGGGTAATTTGTATAATTCATATTTAAATTTAAATAAGAGAATATATAAATACGAAGGATTTATTAATTGGGACAAATTATTTTTATTTTATTTTTAAAATGATTTGTTTTATTTAATTGAGTGCTTAGATTAATTATCTTATTTTAATTAGATTATATTTCGTTAATATATTTATTGAATTGATATGGTGTTTTGCTTTGTGAAATGTTATGATTAAATTGTCTATTTGATTTGTGTGTATTTATGTTTACGTGAATTGTTTGTTAATTATTTGTAATTATCACATTTAATTTAATTATTTTATTTTAATTGGATTAGGTTTAAAATGAATGTGACCAATGGATGTGGTCTTGAGTTTAAAAGAAGCCTTATTGGGTTAATTAATAAGGGCCCATGGTTATAAAGATATTTAATTAATTATCTTTGCATAATTATATATATATATATATATATATATAATTATATGTATATAAATATAATTAATTAATTATTATATATATGTGTGTGTTTGTGTGTGTGTGTGTATAATTTAATTAGTTAAGGATTATCATGAAAGGAAATATACACATATATTATAATATATATATTATTTAAGATAATTAGTATTTCTTTTATTTGGTAGTCCTAGTAGGAATATGATTTGGATTTTAATGTGTAGAAATATACACATAAGGTTTTAGGGTTAAAAGTTTACACGAATAAGAGAGGTAATGAGAGAAAAAGAGAAGGCTAATAACGAGGAGGCCGGATCTGAGAAAGAAGACGTCAAATTTGGAAGAGACAATCAAAACTTGAAGCGTCGGTTTCGTTTTGAAACCTTCAAGCAAATTCTTTTCTAACTCTGCTCTTAGAACTCATAAGGATTTCACCTTGAGTTTCAGTGTTTAGATTAATTTTATTTGATTAAATCAGATTTAAATCAGAGTATTAAAAACATGTTTTATTATTATTTTTATTTTTGGAATTGTTGAATTTTAATTATATATATAGGTTGTATATATTTAAAATCAACTATATGCTTGATCTGTGACCCAAGAGGATTATTTAGGGTTTAAGAATTTTTGGGAATTGATCTAGTGTGGCGCGGCATAGATAATAGTGAGAACACGCAGATCTTGACTTTTGTATGGTGATGATGAGGGATGGATGATTCACTATGGTACAGTGTATGGGATTTTGGTGTTCATGGTCATCTGGACCATGGAAGTGGTCTGGTCAATAAGGAATTGATCTGGTGTAGCGCAGACTATAGAGAGTGGTGCACAATCAGATCTGGACCGTTGACTTGTTCTGGTTAGCAAATAAATTATTCGGTGTGGTCGAGCTCATAGTAGCGATTGAGCTCAACCTATTATTTTTTACTAATTTGTTACTCAAAATTTAAACGGTCATAACTCAGTCATCTTAAATCGGAATTGGGTTATTATTGAGCTCAAATTTAAGGATTTTTCGTCTTCTTTTCAATGTTATCAATTTCATTCTCAGATTTCCATCATACTAATAGATATTTACATTTTAGTGAGATGATGTTAGAAAATTATTTAAACTAATATGGAGTATTTTTGGGAAACCATTTATGACGATATTTAGTAATATTTAATTTGTGTAAATATCATTAATTAGTAATTTGGTGATGGAAGGAGTTATATATATACTTAATTATATATGATTTAATTAATTTATGTTTAGAATGGAAGGAAATATATGTATATATATATATTCATTAATATATATGTATATATGATTTTAAATAATCAATGATTATTATTGAAGGTATTATAAACATATATATTGTATAATATATGGGTATATGTATACTTGACCCACTTTATTTTTATCTTTCAGGTTACTAGAGGTTCAAGTCTCAAAGTTGAGGATCTGCAGTTGGAGGACTTATCTATTCTTTCAATTTATTTCAAAGTAGGATATTATTTCTTTATTTGACATTAGTATTTATTTTTGAAATTCTGAATAGTGACTTTTGGTTAAGGGGTCATTGAGTTACGGGATTCCCGAGTTGTAACCATTATAGAGTTATTAATTGATTTATTATTTATTAGTTTTCTTCAGCGTATTATTTATTTCATTTTGTAATCTGTGTTTGTTTAAATACTTTAATTGTTTTAATATTCCTTAATTATGTGCGTGGATTTGATCAACCCGTGTTCTGAAATTAAGGGGTATCACAATAAATGAACCTTATTACATTTTTTCCTACCCAAACTCGCAACATCCTCATTGCGACTTGGGTCACCCTACCTACTTGGGTGCAGGTAGAGTAACCGCCCTTAATGGATCATTATCATCATCATTAGCCATGTTTGGATTATAAGATTCTCCTAATTTTTAGAATATTAACACACATATAGATAGATTGACTTTCCATTTTTTTTCCTAGTTGATACTCACACACACATATTTCTTTTGAGACTTGAACCCCTGACTTCCCTTCGGGAGATAAGAGGCTGATACCGCTAGGCCACTGGCCCATTGGTGACTTTCCATTTCAGACATCCGCCGTTCCTGATCTTTCACTTGATCAATTTGTAACTTATTTTCTGTTAATTTTTGATAAATTACATCAACTAGACATTAATATGAAATGGTTTATGATATTGACGAGACAAAATTATTTTTAGAGTTACAAGTCTTAAGAGAAACTTTACTGAGAGGAAAAAAAAAAAAAAAAGGCAATTAAAGTATTTGATTTTATAAAAGGTTAAGTAATTATTTTCTTAATGCTTGGATTGCATATAGAGTATTATTGACTATCCCAATTACAGTTGCATTTGTTGGGAGAAGTTTTCAAAGTTAAAGTTGATCAAATCTTACCTGTGATTAACGGTGTCATAAGAAAGATTAAATGGATTGACTATGATATATATTGAAAAATATATGTTGAAGAAATTTAATTGGGATACTTTAATTGATAATTTTGTAATTCAAAATGTAAGATAGTCACATTTACTTTGATATGAAGTTGAATTTTGATTTTCCTGACTAGGTTGCGTTGAATATTTCTTTTAATTATTTTAATATAAATTGGATCGTGTTTTTTATAAAATACTAAGACCGGGTTTTGTTTTATGTGTTTTCAATATTAATATATTTTATGTCTTTATTGTCTTATTTTAATAAAAATTTCGCATTCTGTGAAAAAATTTACCCCTCCATAGGTGGGAATTATTCCCGCCAGTAATTGATAAAAAAAAAAAAAAAAAAATCTTTCAGTAACACAAGGTAGAAAGTGAAAATTTCCCCCCCTCCACAAGTGGGAATTATTCCCGCTAGTAATTGACGAAAATAAACAAAATAATAAAAAAAAGATCTTAAGTAAGACAAACACAACTTCACACAAACACGAACACGAACACTTTCCCTCTTTGAGAAGCCCTAACACAAAAAAATCTTCTTGTGTGCATCTCGCTGCAAACGGCCAGGCTTTCCATCGTCGTCTCTGTCTCCGGTCACCATCGTCGTCTCTATATCCGGATAACATTGTCGTCTCTGTCTTCGGTCACCATAGAAGGGACCCCAGGCCCTAAATGATAACACACGGCTTATAAACAAAACCCTAAATTCAAAGACAAAAATTCCTATAAAGAAGCGATCCTTTTGTCTGATCGGTAAGCAAAGCCTAACTTTTCTCTGTTTAATTCCTTCTTCTTGTTTCCTTTTTCACACATATATTAGCACACACTAAAACACACATATTCGCACACACTGAAACACACATAGATTGAACGAATTAACATTACTTTGTTTACATCTACCATATACAGAACCAATGTTGTTCTCAATCAGGTCATTTCACAAGTTCTTGTTTTACATTGCACCAATTATATATACACACACACACACATATATGTATAACTAGAACTTTGGTTTGGTTTTCATTGTCCGTGTTCTCAGATTGATTTGCTTGAGAATCCGGCAATTGATGATGTTGTTGTGTTATCGATTGTGCTGCAAGAGGTCAAGAACAAGAATCTTTCAGTTTATAACAGAGTTAGAGCCCTGTGCAGCAATTCTACGAGGAAGTTCTTTGTTTCCTCTAACGAACATCACAAGTGAGTCATCTCTTAATTTTCATCATTTTCATCACGATGTTTGAATTCTTTCAATTTCTTTTCAACAATTTAAGGAAACAATGGTCTTGTAGGTAGTCTTGTTATATTTAAGACAAGTCAAAAGATAGTTTGGATCCAAAAATGAAGATACACATGGAAGTTCTTTTATAATTTTAATTAAATATTTTTTTCAACAGGTAATTTTAATTAATGTTGTTTTTATACAACACATCCGTATTTAGAATACTATGTAAACTGGATGTTATTTTCAACGTGCTTTTGCTTTTGATGGCTAGTTTACCACTGGTAATATGCTCTTGGCTTGATTCATTTATATATGCACCCTCCAATCTGATTGCATTTTATAAACAATGCTAGTGTAATGATGTCTTAAAAGCTACTTTTAAATGGTGTTCAGTTGTTTTATCCAAAAATGGGGAGCATATGGTGTCTTATTTCACTTTGCGTGTGTTTGCGTTGTCTTGTAATTGTAATCATATATGGGGATGTCTTACAACATGGTGGGAGTATAACAGGAATACTATAAATATTGAAAGTATGAACCATTTTTTTAAGTACACTTTATTATAATTGTGGTACTTATTCCTGTTTTTAGTGTAAGAACATGCAATTGTAGATTTCCTTCTTCTGACATTGATGAATTGGAAGTTCAGCAATTCTAGTGGCAACTCAGTGGTATCATAACCATCTTGGTGGTGCAACATGGGTCTTATTAATCACAAATGACACATAAAATAAGAGGAAAGCCACTGAAGAGGGAATTTCTGCAGAGACAGGTACATAAAAACATGTGATTTGCTTTTTCCTTTTCTTTCCGTTCATGCACTTCTTTAATGGGTCTGAAATTTTACCTAAAAAAAAAAGGGTCTGATTTGTTAAATTCCAGCAATGTTTGTTCTGTTGCTGTTGTTGTGGCTTTTACTACTTATGCCACTACTAATAATTTTTTTTGGGATTTAAGGAGGGTTTACCCCTACTTTAATGAGAATGATACCCAAACCAGACAAAACTATACAAACTAGAATCTAAACTATCAAAACTAAGATCAACCTCTCCATCCCTAGCACCATAGCAGGTTGACCTCTTAATATTTTCTGGGAAGTTATAATCCACTAAAGCTTAGAAATATACTTTCTATACATGATCAGATATCTTGAATCTTCTTTATTCATCCAGAAAGTTAATTACCAAAATCAACAGCTTAATTTTTTTAAAAAAAAGATTTCCGCTGTTGGACCCTTGCATCCGATGAAACCAAAAAATGAACAATTGAAAAAATCTATTTAAAGACAATAGGCAAATCAACAAAGGGAATGAGGACATTATCTAGAATTAACCTGGCCAATGCAAGGTGCTGGTAGGGATAGGCTATGTATGGACCAAAAGTTTGCCATTGCTTGCATAAAGTGATTGCTCTTGTTTGCAAACTTGTGGTTCTGCTTACTTTGCAGAGCAACAACATATATAGAAAACAAGTAACAACATATATATATATTTTTCAATTTAATATTTTATCAATCATATATATTGCACACAATCATCTCTTTGTTTCTAGGAAGGGAAAGTCTTGTTGGTGTTTGTTGGTCCAATTAGAATAGAAGTGATAGACTTGGTTTTTGATTTTATTTAATGATTGTATACATAGAAGTATCAAGTACTGCTAAAACCTCATCTGTACCAAAAGAAAAGAGTTGTGTGGTAATTATTCAACTTACAACATATGTGTGACAATACTACACTAGAAAACCTACTTAGGTTTGCATGGGATGAGAGAAAAGCACTGGGCCACATCACAGATCGATCTGGTTTGTGGCTCTAACAACCTAGTAATATAAAAAGTTACAAACTCATACATTAGAGCAAAAATCAACATTAGCATTACACTAATTTATTTTTAGGATGAATTGCATTAAACTCCGTGTTAGACTCATAGCGTTTTGTAATAAATTTGTTTTTATTTTTATTTTTTTGTTGTCGAAAAATTCCATCTAAGTAAGTGTTTTTTTTTACTAAAAAACTTCTACCAAGTCGAGAGTGTTTTATGCAATTCAGGGGATATTTTTAACAACAAATCAAAAAACAACCCCTTTATTAGAAAAAAAAAAAAAAAATTTAAAAGGAAGATTGTCTACAAAACCTACAAGTTAAGGGAATTTTGGATCTCTTTTTATTATCCGTCATATTATCTCGTACGTTTTAACTTTTGAAAGTAATTTCTAATAACTTCATTTGTGCACCATCATCTGTTTTATTTTATTTTCTAATTTTTGAGTTCAACTACAAAAGATACCATATATTAAACTAAAGAGATATTTGAATTGTGGAAAGCAAGGGCCATCACCCACCCTCTGTTGTCCTCTTTTTCAATTATCATAAACTTTGGTGGAAGTAGATGTTTCCTCGTTTTTCAGCTTTATGCTTATCCTGACCCACTTTCTATGGTTCTAACATCTCTCTCTATGTATGTGTATATATATATACACACACACACACTTTACTCAAAATTTTTAAAATCAAATACTTTGTGGCATAGTGATATCTTATTCCATAGTGAGAAATTGGGTGGTAAGAAGTTTCATCAATGCAGCCATAAGATAACAGTTTTATAGAGTGTAAAATGATGATACTTTTTATTTTTTGTGAATTATAGTATAAAATTATGTTACTTTTTGTGAATTATAGAGAGAATGAGAATGCTTTATGATTGCACATTTTTAATATTTTTTACTCATGCTTGAGGGGGTCACGTGCCTTTAAGTGATTAATTTTTTATTTTTTATTTTTTTTATTTATTATTGTGCATAAATGGATCAAAGGTCGGGATATTGTTGTGGATGTAGTTTGGTTTTCATTAATCACATTTTAAGTTTGGTTTACATTCATGATCAATGTTTATTTTAGAATAAGCAACTCATCTGCAACCTCATTGTGTATAAGAACTTTTGGTTAAATGAGTTGGTATTTGCCCAAATATCATCAATGAAATAGATTGAGTTGGGTCTATATTCAGGATTGTGTCGTTTTCATTTTCCAAATTGTTTCACTCTTTTCCTTTTATTTTTCTCTCTTTACATTTAGCCAACCCACACAGGCCCTCTAAATGTTTGCACTAAACTATATTTTAAAAATTATTTAATTCCTTATCCATAATTTTGTATGTTGAACCAATTGATATTTGAAAAGTATTGTCCGAAAACTGGATTATCAACTTTGACATTATCACAAGGTCCTTACATTAATTTGCAGAAGGTTTCAAGTATATAATCATAGACCTTTATTTTCTCCTTTCTGCTTAAAATATTTTGTAAGATGCTGTACATTGACGTGGGTTCCAAGATATGAGTACGATGCATAAACAAGAATATGCTAACAATTAAGAATACCGAACAAAAGAATATGATTTATATTTTGGAATGCCAATAGTGAGTATTTTAATCATTTTAATTAAGAGATGTCAATAACTAAGCTATATTTGATATCCCTGTCTAGACAGAAAAGAAATGATATATTTTATAGAGCAAGAAAGTGTTGGGTATTGTCCTCTGAATCAAAGGATTGGGTATTGCCCTCCAGATCAAAGGGTATTTTATAGAGCATTGATTTTGTAATGTTATTGCAGTATATATATATATATATATATATACATACATATGTGATTTATAGTGTATGCACAAGATATAGTTGTTCCAGTGATGATTTATTTTTTATAAATTCAATGTAGGAAAGTTAAAATAATAATGTTATAAAAAATGATGTAATAATTTGACTTTTATTTTAAAATAGTTAAAAAATAAAAAGTATATATATATATATTTGTTGAGACGAGGAGTAAAATCTCATTTTCATCAAGTTGATCAATCTAATAATTTTAAATTCAACTGAACCACTCAAATGACTTGTAGACTTAATAGTCTAAAATCCTTAATTATACAAATTTGTTTGGAATTTATATATGTGTTTTTTTTTTCCTAGACCTTAAGTCTCATTTAAATAGTAAGTTTTTGCTATGAATATATATATTTTACCTGTGCATGAGGCTTAAATTAGTACTTAACAAAGCTTACTTTTTATGCATGTCATTAATTACAAGTTATAAAAATTCTATTTTCTTGTAGTGTATTCTCACCAGGATATCAAGTTCTCTAAAATAATCTTTAAAATTTTATTTCAGTCTTCAAATTCTAATCTATTCTTCTTCTTCTTCTTCTTCTTTTTTTTTTTTTTTTTGTGCAGGTTTCACATTGATTGCAATCTAGCTCCCCTTCTGGATTCAGATTTCTTTTGGGATTTTGATATGTCTATGCGATTAGCATTATGTAATATTGGATTTATAGCATTTTGATATGTGCTGGAATTATCATTTTAGATGATTTGCATATTTTAATATCTAAATTCTTAATGGAATATGTGTTTTATCTTCTATGCTTGATTATCAAATATGTTGATTTTGAGTGATACGCTTAGATCTTGGTTTAGATTGTTTATTAATATTTTAATTTAATTTACAGGTTCCAAATTTCAAATAGGTAAAAACAAAATTATATTATTGTATTAGTGGCATGGTATATTATTTTGTCACAATATTTAACTTATAGTGACAACATATTTGTCATAACATGATAGATATATTGTGACAAAATATATATTTTGTCACAATATTTAACCTTATAGTGACAATATATTTGTCGCAACATAATATATATATTGTGACAAATAATTTTGTCACAACATGTGATGTATATTGTGACACAATAAAGTAGCTTCTAGTGACAATATTTTTGTCACAACATAGGATGTATATTGTGACAGAACTTCTTGTCACAATAAAATGACTTATAATGACAACATTTTTGTCAGAACATGTAATGTATATTGTGACAAAAGGTTTTGTCACAATAAAGTAGCTTATAGTGACAACATTTTTGTCACAATATGTAATGTATATTGTGACAAAAGATTCTGTCACAATAAAATAGCTTATAGTGACAATATTTTTGTCACAACATAGGATGTATATTGTGACAAAACCTGTTGTCACGATAAAGTGGTTTATAGTGACAATATTTTTGTCACAACATGTGATGTATATTGTGACAAAAGGTTTTGTCACAATAAAGTAGCTTACAGTGACAATATTTTTGTCACAAAAGGTTTTGTCACAATAAAATAGCTTATAGCGACAATTTTTGTCACAAAAGATTATACATATAGTGACAAAAATTGCTTTTGTCACAAAATAGTAATAAATAATGACATATTTCATAGGTGTGGAGGTCTTTAGGCGACAATTTTTGAACATCTTACGACAAATATTTTGTGGCAATTTTTATTCATTTTGTGACAATTTTTTTTGTCACAATATATCTCACCTTTAGCGACAAATCAATATTTGTCACAAAAAATATATTGTGACCGATTTCTAGCGACAAATTGGGGACAGATTTTTTTTTTTGTCACGATAAGTTTATCGCGACAAAATATGTACTTTTAGCGACAAATTCGTTTGTCGCCAAAGACCAAATTTCTTGTAGTGCACCTTTGTGAGTTAATCTTACTTGATTAGTGATCTAGTATGCTAATTTGTGTTTATTTTGCTCTAAAGTGATTTATGTGTGTATATAAAGTGTATGATTTTGGGTGTAGTTAATGTTGTGCAAATTAACATGCTTAATTAGTAATATTCCTTGTCTATTGTATTTAGAATTTACCAAATTTTATATTGTGAAATCATAATATTCTCTTGGGATTTCTTGAAAAATTATGCTATGTGATTTGAGCTTAAATTTGGTGTATGATGATGGATAATGGCATGACATGGAATAGCATGATGCATTCATACATAACATAGGGTAAAGAAAATGGGAAAGTTGTTTTGAAACGGAAAGAAATGGGTTTTGGGGTAAAGTTTTGATTAAAAATGGTTTTGTGAAAACCCAGTCGCCTCAGAGTCACCAAAGGGCCATGGTGTTAATATAGCTTAGAGGGAACTAGGGAGAACACCCTAGCGTGGTTGAGTTATCTGGGCCTAAATGACGCTGTGGAGGTACCAACGGTCAGGGACAGTAACCAACCCTTCTCTCGTGTCGTTGCGGAGTCACTAACGGACGGGCTATATTAACAGTTTAAAAAGTGATGGATGGTTTTGGAAATGGGGAGCGATATTGCATGACATTGCATTCCATTGCACTGCATGGTTCGTTATGACTTGGATTGTTTGTTGTTGATATTATGGTTAAATTTTCTCTACGGAGTTGTATGATCCCGTCCTCTAATTTCCTATTCTTTGGTTTGCATTCACGGGATAACAAGAGGTGTGTCTTAGGCACCTCCTATTGAGCTTTATGCTCACCCCTTTATTATTAACATTTTTCAGGGCACAACAATGTAGTAGCGGACGATAATCCATCACCGGTGTAGACGGGTTGAAGGATTTGGACTCCTTAGTGCTTAATGCTTATTTTACTCCCTTTTGTTGTAAATGTATTAGGGATCATTTTGAATATATATATCACATGGTTAGAAATGGTCTTGAGACCATTCATTTGTATTTTGTGGTCTCATCATGAATTCAATACCCATGTAAAGCTTTAAGGCCATATTTTCGATGTATGACGAATTTGCTTAATTTAAATGGTATATCGGACTAATGTATAGCCTTATTTAATTTAATTATGTTAGTTTCATCTTTATATGGAAGATTTGGGACAGGTTTGGGCTTTGAGTTAGGTCACCAAGGGACCAAGGTTGAGCCAAGGTGCAAATGATCACAATTTTAGGCTGTCTAGGGCTATTTGGAGGTTCTGGATATCTTGAACTGGTTCAGCCCCATCGAACTGGTTCAAGAGGGGGTCTTTGGTTTAGTAATGGGCATACTTCCCATCTTAAACTGGTTCAAGGCCTTTGAACCGGTTCAAGTCCCCCAGTGCACTATTCTGGCTTCTTCAGTTGGTAGCTTGGAACGTTTGACTTCGGACGGTTATAACTTCTTTGTTCGGAACCTAAATAGGGTCATTCTTGAGCCCATGTTAAAGTATTTTAAGTTAGCTTTCCAATGAGATAAACCTCATCCTTAAATTCCATTCATGTTAAGAGTTATGGTCATTTTAATGGGACAGTGTCAGAATTTCCCTCGAACCGGGTAAGGGTACTTTTGGGAATTCATAACCGATGACCGTAGAACTTTACTGAGTGTCATAAAATGATTAAGAATGATTATTTTAAACCTAATTTGATTAGTTTAAGGATGGATTACCCTCTCACAATGTAAAATGACCATTTTACCCCTAGTGTGTCCTCGGGCTTGGTGAAGGACCTGGTTAGCGATCCGGACCCCCGGTTTGGGTCGTTACACTCTCTCAGCAAACTGTTCAAAACACTGCCTTTGTATTATCGAGGTTGTGGTTATCGAGGTGGCCCTCTCCTAACTCTTTTAATTTTTCTTCAAATTCCTTTGGCCAACCTTGCCGTGGTCGTGGTCGTGGTTGTGGTCGTGGTCGTTCCTCCTATGCTTTTTTTGGCCCCCACTACAATAGTGGTATTCTTGGGTTTGCTCCTTCAGACATTTGTCATATCTTTGCTGGTCACGGTCATACTGCACTCTATTGCTATAATTGTTTTGATCAGACTTATCAGGCTGATGGCTTACCATCGACTTTTACTGCGATGCATCTCCATTCTCAAGATCATCAGTGGTACCCAGACACTGGTGCCACCAATTATATGACTGTTGATCTTCAGTATTTTCAATCACCCAGTGAGTATCTTAGTAGCGACTCTATAAGCGTAAGTAATGGACAAACTATACATATCATTCACACCGGTAAACTGACTCTCAGTACTCATTCAACCTCTTTAACTTTCCAAAATGTCTTTTGTGTTCCTTCGATTAAGAAAAACATTCTCTATGTCACTCAACTCACTCATGATCTTAATTGTTATTTTGTTTTTCACTCCCGTGGTTTGTTATTAAGGATTGCGCAATGAGAAAAATCTTGCTCCACGGTCAATGTGAAAGTGTCCTTTACCCTCTCTCGATTTCCTCCTCTGGTCCATGCATGTTACCCTTATTTAGCCTCATATAATACTCATAAGTTTTAGCCTCTAACTAGCCAATGCGTGTACTTGTGATTGATCAGTGCCGGACTCAATGTCCAAAGAGGCGAACCTACTAGTGGTGTTGGTGGTAGAGGATGACGGACATGGCTCGTAGGTAGAAGAATGGCGGTTGGTAATGGATTGCAAAAAGGACTTGATTTTGTTATATATCATTAAGGTTTTAGTTTCACCATCCATTGATGATCAAGAAACCTTGCATTATCGGTCAGGGATGTAATGAGTTAGGGTTTTTAAGTCTGGAATAAAAGGGCTCTCTACTCGAAAAAAAGGATATGTATGTGTGTGTATATATGTATGCAAGTATGTGCACGGTGAAATAGAAACAGTGAAATGATTTGGATAGCTATCTTAGGAATTGAGGATGAAACAGTGAAGAAAAAACAGGAACAACTTTTAGCACAATAACTTTCAAACTATGATATTGGAAAGAGTAATATTATCAATTGATCCATCAAATATTCATCTATTGGTTTAAGGAGGATGGATTGTTTATTTATTTATTTTTGGGTGTCACCCAATCGCACCGGATAGTTCATATCCATTGCTAATTCCATCTCCAGCTGGGTGCCATGCCAACACATTTGCCTGCGTTTTTTTGGAATGGACTTGTTATGTTGGGTTTGGATACTAATTTTCTTTTATGTTATTTTATTTGGGCTACCTGTAGTTGGGCTAGCCAATCCATTGGCCTTGTAAATTGTTCATACATATTTATATATTTGCTCAGCCAAGCCATTGGCCTTGTGAGTGTTCGAGTGATTCAAAATATAGGCATGTGTTTGTTTTACTATTCAATAAATTAATAAATAATTCAAGATAACAAAGGTTTAAGCTGAAAATTAAGAAGTTCTTAGTTTAAGTAGGATGTCAATTGATCCATCCACCTTCTCTTAGTAGTCACTAGTCAGCACCTAAAAGAATATTTTATTTTTGATCTACCTAATTTTAATTTCAAGACATTAATTCAATACTAGCACATAACTTACAATTTTTTCACAACCAACATATTTTTTTTTTTTTGAAAATTCAAGTTAATTTATAAAGTATTAACATAGTAGGGGACCATCTGCTGGAGTTGAATTTATGTAATGGGTATTGGACTACTCTTGAAGCTAAATTCCAATGTGCTCAGCTTGTTGGTGGATTTTCGCAGCTTGCAATGACTCAAGTTTGGCAACAGCTTTGGCTGGGTATGGTGAAAGGTCAAGTGGATATTAGTGGACTAGTGCAATACTTGGCTCGTGGATAAGGGGATGTATTTGGAGCTCCTGAGAGCATCACTCTTGCTGTAATATTTTGACTCCATCTTACTCTGTTTTCAATTATATGCTGTCGAGCAAGTTCTGTTAGCCAAGCTAATATCAAAGCTTCAGGGATTGATCTCATATATGCTATGTTTGTTAAATATTTGTATATTGATATCCTTGCAGTAGTCAAGAAAGACTTATGTAATCTTGTTATGTAGTGGTGTTTTGGTTGTAAAAAAACAAAAAGCAGTAGTCAAGAAAGAGTTATGTAATCTTGTTATGTAGTGGTGTTTTGGTTGTCCCAAAAAAAAAAAAAAAAAAAAGGAAAAAGTAAAAAAGAAAAGAAGAGTGTTTGTGTGTGTGTGTGTGTGAAACATTGATCTATATATAAAAATCTCGTGCATGCAACACTATACTCTGAGCAACATAAACATCAACCTGGTATGCAAATATGCAATACCCTAAAAGTAGATTTGCACCATTCTTTTTATTCTTTCTATTTATTTATTTCAGTTTTATACAAATATCATAATAATAGTAAAGTCAACTTCATAACTATAGTACCCAGAGGCGTAACAGTGTTGGCAGGGATCGGTATATAGTCCTCCAGGTCTCGCTTTCGAACCGTACGACTTGAATGGTATGTGTGTTGTAAAGCTGATACACGTTGTCTAAGGAAAAAAAAAAAAAAAAAAACTATAAATTTTTCTCCATAAATATTTTACTGCAAAATATGAAACAAATTATACATGTATTAAACATGAATACTATCAATTATATTTAAATTGTTGTATTAATTTATTATATTTGTTTTCAAAAAAAGTTTGGACCAAATTCCTTACTATATGGATGTTCTAAAGAAAATTAAGAAATTTCAAGGAAAAATTAACGTAAGTGGAAAATGCAAAAAGCATGCTTGACATCACTGGTGCAGCCACGTTAGGTACAGTGGGCCAATTGCCCCCACTGAGATTTTCTATATTTTTTTTATATATATATTTTATACAACAATTATGATATTTATATTATAAAAAAAAGTCCCCAATGAATTCGCACAAAATTCACAAAAAAAAAAAAATCCCTTAATATTTTTAAATTAAAAAAATCCCTTGTTTTCCAACTTATTTGCTTCACAAAATTTTTAAAATTCAGAAAAAACCCATGTCTTTTCCCCCTCCAACGGGTTTCACGAAAATTTTAAGAATAAATATTAACAAAAAAAAAATCTTCCTTTGCTATTTATTATATTAATTTAATTTTTTAAAATAATATTATTGTTAATGGTGAATTGTGACTCTGCGACTGCTTTAAATAGATTTAAAACAAGGGCCAGAAGCAATATTATCACATGAAAAATTAGGAGATATAATTGAAGACAAAAAGGGGAACAAATGCATATATGTCCCCACGTATATGAAGTATATGAAATGCCAATATATATATATATATATTACTATGATACTTTTAAATTTTCTATATATAATCTAAACTTAAAAAATAAGATTAATTTTATGTCATAGTCTAACACCACCAATGCGTTTCATATATACATTACATTTACGGTGCTGAAATGCTACAACCAGTGCCGGAGAATTCAGATTCCCGGCCACCACCGGCAGCCTGCGACAACACAAGGCTAACAACGACGTCGGAGAAAGCTCGAATGATGCAGTTGTGGGTGCTCGTAGCGTTCAGAGCAAGATAGCACAAGAGAAGCTCATGCAAGTAGTCCCAATTGGCTCCAACCGTCAAGTCACGTGCCTCCACCATCTCTTGCATGGATCGCCGGAAGTCCTTGTAAGGGTTCCGCGAGTACGTGGAAATGGCAATGCCGCCGCCCACTAGTGTGTCAGATTCCGGCTGGTTACCCGTTGATGATGATGGTGAGGACGGTGGTGATTCAATGATGGAGTTGGAGCGGCCCGGGGAGGAGAAGAAGAGGCGTTGGGAGGCGAAGACGGTGGCGAAGTCGGGGGTGGTGGGTTCGGTGTCAGATTCCGGTGAGTCGAAGGTGAGGTCAAAAAGAGAGTTGAAGTGGTTGATGTGAGTTGGGGCGGTGTTGTTACTGGAGTACTTTGGCAATGGACGGCTATGATCTTCTGGAATATGTGGGGCACGAGATGATTCGGCTGATGATGACCGTCTGATCCTTGTGAAGCAAAAATTAAGATTTCTTCCTAGTGTAGTGCAAGCCATTTCCCTCTATTGCACTTTGTAATTGATGCTCAATGCTCAAAAACACACACATGCACACAGAAATTGAGAGAGTTGGGTTAGGTTTGTCCAAGGAACTTGGTACTATATATGTCTAGGATTTAAGAAGATGCACATGGAAAGCTGTGGTTGTTGCACAATTTAAGGTAGTTTTTGTTGATGCATTTGAATCAGAAATTGAAATCATGCGATATATATCAGACTCCTGTAAGTGAAAAATTAGATGGATATGATTGTTTTATAACTTTACCAGATCTTTTAGTTTGGACCTGTCTTCTGTTTGGTCCCACCACTTTCACATACATGTTTGTGTCACCAGAGAAGAGATATGATTTATGAATATTCAATTACCATTATTAGATTCCACTGAAGAAGAAATGTAATCATGCATGTGAAAAAACCCAAAAAAAAAAAAAAAAAAAAATGATTTTATTTGGACTCTTTTGACTGATATTTGATTGAGCTAGTGTACCACAATTAAGCTCATATAATTCATGCTTTCAATCTTTGGATTCATCTGTATTATATTGGATCTAAGTGGTTCAATTCTTTTAAATGATTGTCATTTTCACTATATTACTCTCATTCTTATTTTATGTGACTTAAATTTTACTATTTTTGCCTTCTTGCTCTAGCTCCGCTCCTGCATTCACTTTTTATTTTTTATTTTTTTAAAACATGTGTATTGGTCCCACAATACATGCACCATTCAAGTTAGGAGTGCGATTCGAAAGTGAGATTTCAAAAATTTATTTTTCAAATCCCTGGCAACACGGCTATGCCCCTGGGGGCTCCATGCACTCACTCTTACTTAATATTGTACAGTTCACAACATACGCATATGCAATTACACATACATATAATCATACGTGTGAGTATTATAAGCTCACAATAGATATGCACGTGCAATTATACATGTATACAGTTATTCATTTGAGTATTATGATCGAGCTGTTCAATCCAATGAAACACTAGGAATCCGATTTGGAAGTGAATTTTCTGAGTATCTTCTTAGTTTATCCAATGATTAAGTGCATACTTTTTATTCAAAAAAGAAAAAAAGAAAAAAAGAAAAAAAATGACAGATTGCAAACGTATGTACTTTCCTGTCAAATTTAATCCTTGTAATTAATTAAGTACTTATATCAGAGCTTAATAAATCAGCAATAGTCAAAGAAGAAGGTACGCTAAAACGATAGTCCAACGAATCTTATAATGTTTTTAATGATGAGAAGCTAGGCAAACGGTCAACCATTCAAGAACCATTTTGACTTGGTTTAAATTATTATTTGTATGATGATTCCGTATATGAATTAAGTGAATTTGAGTATAAATAAAAGATTGGTTAGTATTATTATATTTGAGGTATATATGAGAGAGAGATTTTATTATGATTTTCGTGAAGTCAAAATCTTTCGTCCCATGAATTTTAAATAAAGACATACATTTTGTTATTTGAAATCCACAAAAGAATGTTTTTTTTTTTTTTTTTTCGTAAGACATTCATGTTGAACAGTTTGAAGGAAATAGAGAATCAAAGTTAAGTTTTTCATTCAATCAATACACTTAATTAGATTTTATATGACTCCTCATTCAAACTCTTCCATTTTAAAATTATTACCATTTACAATATTTGGGATATAAATTTATACTCTTTGATTTTGTAAAGAGCATAACTAATTATGATCGTTAGTGGGCTATTGTAACGGGTGGACGCTTGTTTATTTTTTTAAAAATTAAAGTTATTGGGTAGTGCTATATAACTACCTATTTATACCCTTCACTTTTCAATGGAATTCGATGTGGAACAAATACCCCTTGTAACATTCTCCTCCACCCGAACTCACAATGCCCTCGTTACGGTCAGATCATTCTCTTTACCTGAGTGACTCACTTGGACGCCTTCAGTGCAGAGCGCTTGGCGTGACACCTGATCAAGAATTGAGTCTGACTCTACTGTAATGAGTGAGTAATTGCCCATTTATTCAAAAGCTTAAACTATTGAGTAATACTGCATACCCATCTAATTATACCCTTTTTACTTCTCATCTAGATCTGACACATATGAACTATCCTAAAGTAAATATTTGTTGTCTAAAATAGCTAAGCAGAAGTATAAATTTTTATGATGCAGTGGAATGGACTAGCTATCTGATAATCATTATATTCATTACATAACCATATAATAATGAATAATAATTTCTGATGGGGCTACTTGTTTCAATTGTCCTATAAATTACACATACTACCTTCCCAACAACCGCAGAGGGTTTAGGACGGTGATGTTGCCTGCCCATTAATTTTGTGGTCACTGCAATAAATATATATATATATATATATATATATATATATATATATATATACATACATATATATGTATAGACGCACACATTTTTTACATTTTTTCATTCTAAATTATATATACACATTTTTTACATTTTTTCATTCTAAATTATATATATATATATATATATATATATATATATATATATATATATATGGTTAGACATACATTCTTCTCACATTAACATTCATGATTCAACCAATTTTTCTCTCTTTTTAATGGACGTGAGTGTAAAATTGTGTACGAATAAGGTTCCATAGAGAGGATGTGACATCACAAGTTACCGGAGAAGGAGGTTGTTTGCGTAGAATTTTCAACCTAATTTTTTTTTTTTTTTTTTTTTTTTTTCATAAACAAGTTGTGTTCAAAGATGTAATGGCTCAACTATTCCTCCCTCACTGAGAAATTACTATCTACTAAATATAGATATAATTTTCGTTTGAAATATCATGATTCTTATTTTTTTTCAATAAGATCCAAGTTGTTACAAGAGGGATTGTGTTGGCTTACTATTTAAATAATTGAGTAAAAGAAATGAAAATAAAATTAATTTTCTAACATGCATTTAGTTAGCGTGAAAAATATCTTTTCATAGTTTGGATGGCATAAAAGTTGAAAAAAAAAAATGTAATGATTTACCTAAAATGTTCCTACTTTCATTAAATAAGAAAAAAATTCTAAAAAAATTTGTATTTTTATAAAATAAAAACAATGTAAGAATCTAAATAAATAATTTTGTAAGAAATTTAGAGAGAGAGAGAGATAAATTACTATACTATTATTATAAAAAGTTATGTATAAACATATTTTATTTTACAGACATAAAAAAAAGGGGGCATAATGGTAAGTTCACATAAATTTTCTTGTGTATTTTTGTAAGAATTATTAAGAAAAAATCAGGGGGCACTCCAAAAAGCTACTTTTGCGCTCCAAACCTTGTTATACTAAAAAGCAAATGACCGTGTTGTCCTTTAGTATATTTTGGGACAGAGACAATAGTTCATCCATGTAAGTCTCTCAGATTTTAAATTTCCCAACCATCCAATCTCTTATTTGAGCACTATTGAACATTTTTTATTTTTTTTTGGTCTTACACGAAATAGCATAAGATTATTCAAGTTTTATCCAACTCGTGTGAAGGGAATGCTTTGCACCTACCCCGGATACCCGGTCACCTAAAAAAAAAATAGCAGGTGATGATAAGCTCCTTTAATCCAATTTAACAATTTATGATTTCATATGTTGCAGACATAAACCACACAGCTCTACCCTTCTGTGTGAGGTGCTAGGAAAGAAAATAAATCGAATTCTCATGCACGTCATTTCTGTAGCTTACATCCATCCACCGAGCTAAGGGCTAACATGATATACAACTTTACCGTTGCACCACGGGACACCTCCAACCTTTCCTACTTTGAACCTGTGAGATCATGATGGAACAATCTTATCGGTGCATTACACCATGGGCCACACTTCACATTATCTACTTTTAACCCATGAGATCATGCTATAGCCTATAGCCTATAGACGAGAGGACATCTGGTTTGATGGGCTAAAACTAATACTGCTTGCCTACTTATCCCAGATGTATGTGAAGGCTTCACCCTCTCATTCTGCTCTTAGAACATGTCTCTTCAACCAAAAATCATCATATGCTAAGTTGCTATTGGAACAAGTTTACTGAAGAAGTGATAGCATAGTGCAGAAACCATGACATCGACAAAGCGAAGATGAAGTGATGGAATTGGAGGTTCCGTTCCTATGGCCATTGCTAAGGTTAGGGAGTCCTGAGACGTCGAACATGGGCCTTCGAAAAGAATTACATTCTACCTATAAAAAGTTATCCTTTTCTATTAATAGCGAAGAAGAAGGGGAGGGACGATAAAACAAAAAAACTTGCAATAATATCTGATAAACTTAACCTACCTTGACTTAACGATAGAGACAACTAAGTGTTGACCAGCCGCCAGACCTCTTTGACTTTCGAACGATGATATTTCCATTGGATGAAAATAATAATATTTCATTATCAAAGATAATGAAAGATGACGTGGTTCAATAGGGTAAGGATAACCTTGACACAATTTGAGGAAGTAAAAAGGATTAAATCATATCCCCGACAAATCTGGTAACAAACGGATCTCCTCTGATCTCGCACAAGCTGTGATACCCCCGGATTTCTGAATGCAGGTTGGTCAGGCCCACGCCCGAACGTCCGAGGATATTAAAAACAAATCGGCAATAAACGAACACAGAGCACAAAAGAATAAAGAAGAATAAATAAAATGCTAACAAGAAACTAAAATGATAATATAATAATAACCCTCAGAATATATTTCCAATAATTAATAAACTTTTCTGATACAACTGATCCTGCAAAATACAACTCGGGAATCCATACTGTGTGGACCCCTAGAAAATTCAAACTAAACAAATGACAGCAATAACCGCCTAAATTAGGAAACTGAATCATAAAGGAACTCCTATGTAGCATCGGAAGAATGAAATAGACTAATCCCCGCTTAGCACGAACAACCTCTACTCTTGACGAACACCTGAAAAATAATGGTGGGTCAGACCCACAAACAAGTTCTACTCTACTACAGTCCAAGCAGAGATTTGATACACGTATACATCCTAGTCAATCCAAACAGTAACTAGTAATCTGTATATATATATATATACACACTAAAGCAACTTTACTAGACTATAGAGTTGTCTCAACCTGAATAGTAGGCAACATGCAAAACGCACATATATTGGGCATGGGTACCTAGACCTATCAGGATACACAACTACACTATATCTAGCTACACATCCCTGGCAATATACGCGCCCTA